GACAACCCCCCACCTCCAGCCAGGCAGAGTGCCACTCACCAACCTAGCAGTATCCCGAAGGCGCCAAGCCACAGGAGCTGGACAGTGAAGAACAGGCGCTTACACGGCTTGGCGATACCCCTAGGTCAGTGAATGGTGCTGTGGCCAGCTGGAAAGGGGGGTTGCCGGGTGGCTGCTCGTGAGCATGGTCGCTTCATGGCTGTTGTGTTGCGCTGCTGCGACAGCACAACACAGCCGTTCAACCCTGAGGCTGTGCCTGGCTCTTTGGGAGCCCGCTCAGAAGAGAGCAGGCACCCAGCAACCCCAAAACAATAAACCCTCCCCTCATAATAAGGCCCAAGCCATATTTTGTGGGTAAAAAGAAAATAAGACCCTGTCTTATTTTCGGGAAAACACGATACCCTTTAAGTATGTTTTTTTCCCTTTGTGTTTCCACTTACATTCGGAGTGGGTGCCCAGCATACACTGAAGGACAGACTGTTATTGACCAGACAGCATTTGCATATCCATATTTATCAATGTTTTTGCTCTGAGAGTGCTGATCATGAATTTTATCTTCATAGTTGAAGTCTTTGCTGAGACCAGTAAAGTCAAATATGGAAGCAATCTATGAGCCACAGAGAACAAATCTTGTGAAAACCAGTATCAATGTCACAGAAAGCAAAAAAGACAATTCTGGGCAAGACATCTCCAAGAAAAATGTAAGAAAGTCTACATCAGCATCCTGTGAGAGAAGACAATATGCCAAGGAAATGGGTGATATCAAAAGCAATCTTAATAGCACCCTTGACATAACCAGTTCTAGCTCATTTCAGAATGCACAGTGTCTTAAGCCTTACAACGTGACTACCACAAATGCATCTCCAGAATTAACAGCAAAGGAAAGGCAACAAGTATGTTGAAGCTTTATACATAGTCTCTTTTTCCAAAATATGGGTTATAAGGATGTTCCAACTGTAAACAACTTTTGTAAAGATAGAAAATAAAACTTTAATTGTGTAATCAACTACAAGCTGAATAAATTAATTTCTATTAGAAATTTGCTACCCAAATATGTCTTGTTTATTTATATCTAATTCTTGCAAGCTAATAGAAAATGTGGGGTAATCATTGCAGCCCCTGTCTTCTAGAGGTTCTATTTTTGTGATGATAAAAAGACCCAATATTCTTATCAATTTCGGTGTCCATAATTGTCTCCCATTTGGAGAAGTTCCCTCTAAGCACTTTATTTAAACTTTATTTAACACCAGATGGTAGAATCAACTACTAGAAGATGGACAGAGTATGTCAAAATGGGTCAATTTCACTGAAGCTAGATAGATAGTTGTCTCAAACCTGGACTGCAATTATCAAAATCTGATTACAGTTATATTAATTTCTGCATTATGATTTAAGTTTCTTACCATTCTAATTTAGTTCATCAGTATCATAGGTTTCACTGTCATACATATTGCTTGTTGGAATCAGTAAAGACGAGCATTTATTTCACATTCTGGAAGATAACCGGATTATCTTATGTTCATTCATTTACATGGAAAGGTGATGGATATTCTCTGGAGTGATCCTAAGCATCAAAATGGTTGTTCACCAAATAAAATTCGAGGAGGAGGTTGTTACTTTGGTCCTGATATTACTGCCAGATTGCTGCAGCGTTATAATTTGAAATTGCTCATCAGGTCTCACCAGTGCAAACAGGAAGGTTATGAGATCAGTCATAATGGAAAGGTAATTGGTACTTTAAAATTCAAATTTCACAAAACATTCACCAGCTAAAAAAAATGTACCAGATTGTACTAGAAAGATAGCTCCAACTCAGTAGTGATATGGCAATCAGTATCCTTAATCGTACCACAACATGATTTCTTAAATTTTAATCATGATTTCATTTTTTCCACAATGCAAAATAGAATAAGAAGGAATCAGTACTCTTCTTCTTTTTCTTTCTTTTTTTGTTTCTGTTATAATTTTGCACCAGTGAGGTTAAAACCAATTTCATTGTATTTAAGTACAATGACAATAAAGATTATACTTATACATATTTAGATGGAAAGACTAGCTGAAAAGAGAAAAATATTCTATTGGCAAATAGTTATGTCAGTTTTCTGCTTCTGTAGAAAAATACTATAGTTGTCATTCTTTTTTCTATCCTCTTCCATGCATTGGGAAACATCATGGCTGGTAGAAGTTTGAATAACTTAATTTTCTGGTATATTCTTGGTTTTTTTGTCCTTCCTTCAAAACACACAAAATCCCTTCCATATCTGAGAATGTAAGATGGTTTGTTGAGGGAGAAGCTTTATA